CTAAGGGCCAAGCCATGAACAAAAACTCAAACCTCGTGAAAATCGGATGAGTTTTGACGGAGTTATGGGGATGGGAAGTTTTGACCTATGTCTATATAGGATAATTCAGGGTACTATATTTTACATTAATTTTGACGACGAATAATGTTGTCTTATTACATGGATATATTAGAAAATGTGTTATTTGAACCCTTAATTAAAAACAAATATTTTATAAAGGAGTTTCGCATAGAATTGAAATATTAAGCAAATATTTGGGAGTCTTTGTAGGATTCCTAATTGCTAACGCTTTAGCCCTGAAAAAGTCGGTTGGTTTCTGCATGTGATATTCATTGACGCAAATGGAATGCCCTTTAGCTGGCGTCGATTCAAGTTCACATTCATATTACATATCTTTCACATATCTCGTTTTGCATGCAGCTCACAAAGGTGTTGAATATTGGCCTAGGCAGTTTTTTTTTGTTTTTTTCCCCCAAATTGTGAGCGCCTACTTCACATTTGTATTTGTTGTAAAGTTGTTTAAACAAAAAGTCTGCATTATTTAAACAAAATAAGAGCACCTTCACGGGCTATTTGTAAAATGTTCGTGGTTTTATTTAGACATTCAAGACTTTACTTCGGCTACGCTGTCAAATGTTTATGACTGGACGCTGTGAGGGCTCCCACGCCCACGCCCACAGCTTAAAGTTAGCCATTAACCTTTATCGAGGTGTATCTCTGGCATTACGTGTGCGCCAAAAGAGTTGCGAATTCTGCGCCCAGCTGCAATTGCGTAAATTTGCCTGACTGGCGGCCGACTGGCCACACGGGGCGTATGTGTAACACGCTCGCGACTAATTTCGCGTCTGGCCAAAAACAAAATCACAAATTCCAAAATAAACTAAAACACAATTACAGCGCGTAAGCGTCTCATTTAGAAAATCAATTTCAAGTTCAAATTCCAAGTGGCAAGTTGCAAGTCGCAAGCCGCGAATCGCAGGCCGAATATTACGTATACGCCGCATAGGCGCTGCTCGACCCGAGAGCTGACCTTCCGACAATTACGCCTCCAATTACGGAGACGCATTTTTGTTATACTTCGATTCGCTTTTTTTTTTGGCAATTGAAATGCGCGTGCCACACAACAAAACAAAAGTGTTGGCATGCGTGCATCATCATTTGGCAGCTGGATGCTCGCCGGGCATGCCTTTAATTGTAGAACTGGGGCAAGCGGCTCATCCCTAAACAGGGTGTTTGGCCGGTGTCAAGTGCCCCAGCTGACATTGACACTCATACGCTTATGCTCAAGCTGATCGTGATTGTGATTGTGATCGTGATCGCTTCCCCTTTGCGTATAAATATGCGGCGCATGCGCTGCTGTTGGTCACACAACGAGACGAGTTCGACGGCTGCACGTTTCCCAGCACAATTTAAAGCGGACTGCCTAGTGAGAGCTCGAGAGGATTATGATGTGCCGTGCGCTGTTGATGCTGCTGCTGGCGCTGGTGGGCGCCAGCCATGCGGCCACACATGTCAACATTTCTATAGCCCAACAGCCGGCCACAAATCCGGCGGATGTTAGCTTCATTGATGGACATGCGCCAGTGGAACTAAAGGCAGGTCCCTATCGGCCGGAGGAGGACGAGCAGCAGGAGCAACGTTTTCAGCGGCTGCAGGAGCGACCGCAGCAGCAGCAGATGCAGATGCAGGCACAGCAGCAACAGTCGATGCAATCCCAGCAGCAGCAACAGATGCAGCAATCCCAGCAACAATCGCAGCTGACGCCGCGCCAGGGATTGGGCTTACAGCCGGCACAAGCTGCTCCCGCTCCTGCCAATGGTCGCATGGCACGTCGACGCATGCACGCACGTCGCCCCTCGATGCATCAGCAGCCCCCGCACAGCGGTCAGTTCCGTCAGCGCAACCAACAGCTGCGCCAGAATCAGGAATTCGAGCGTTACATTCAATCGTATCACAGTCATGGACCCTCCGTGGAGACCGTGAGTTCTAGTGAAGATTAGCTTGATCATTCCAGCAGTTGGCTTCTTCCCTAACATATTTCGTTGCCCCGCCCGCCAGGTCTACGAATCCTCCAGTCCGTCGCCCCAGCGCTACACCCAGTCCAGCAGCAGCAGCTCCAGCTCCAGCTCCAGTTCCTTCGCTGCCGACGACGACGCTGTGTCCATTGGCGGCGCAAAGTCGCAGCAGCTGCGCATGTTTGAGCGCCAGGTAGCCGCCCCGGTTGCATCGCAGGGCCAGAGCGCCAATGTGGAGCAGGCACAGGACAGCAAACCCATCTATGAGTCGCCGCAGCCGGCGCCTGTGCAAGCTGCAGTCATTGCGCCCGCAGCCAGCTCCAGCTCCGGCGCCAGCTCCAGTTCCAGCTCGGCTTCTGCTCCAGCGCCCGCATCAATGCCCAACGATGCCAAGCAGGGTTTTGACTCATCCTACGAGCCCGCATATGAAGCCGGAAACAGCTACAATCGCCCCAGCTACGACCAGAGCGGCTACAGCGGCTATGAGGATGTGCAGGATGACTACCAGGATCAGTATCCGCCAGCTGTGGACGCCAGCTACGATGACTACGCCGAGCAGGCGGGCTACTTGCCTCCACAGCGTGGCTATGCGGCACCGCCACGCCCACTCGTCACAAAGACCATACAGATTGTGCAGCCGGCGCTGAAGGCTAAGAAATACGAGGTGCGTCATCCGGCCATACAGAAGGAGTTCTATGACATCGAAGAGCGCGTCGTTATCAAGCCGGCGGGCACATTGGTCGTGGAGCTGGATCATCCTGTGGCCAAGATACCCAAGGGTGAGACACTGCTGCCACTGGGTCATCCCCACCCCGCCGTGGCCTCCGCCTACGACAATCACAATGGACAGGTGCAGGCGCACAGCTACAACAATGGCAACGAGTACAGGTCGCCGGCGCCAGCCAAGGAGCAGGCACAGGTGACCACCATTGGCTCCAGTGTGACCACCATGCCCGCCTACGATCAGGCGCCCAAGGATGAGTATGTGGAGGCGCAGCTGCAGCAGCAGCCACAAGGCAGCGATGCCACCGATGGCAAACGCCAGCCCAGCTTCAGCTCTAGCTCCAGCTCCAATCCCAGCTCCAGCTCCAGCTCCAGTGTGATTGCCACCGATGGCAACGGCAACCAGTTCCAGATCAACAAGAAGCATCTGACACCCAAGATGCTCACACGCCCGGAGCCCGAGCAGCCGGACTACGACTACGTCCGCAGCGAGGCCAGCTATCCGCCTCAGCGCAGCTATCAGCGCACCAATAGCTACAATCGCCAGCCGTACCAGAGTGCCAACAATGAGGATTACTTCAGCGGCGAGTTTCTGCCCAATGCCAATGCAGGCAATGTCGAGACGCAACCAGCACGTCTCGAGGAGGCGCCGCGCCCGCAGATAATCAAGCACGAGCACAAGATTCATTTGCCGCCATCGCAGCACAACATTTATCTGGGCCGCAGTCGCCAGCCGCCGCCCAAGGAGCGTCGCATCACGGAGCTGCCGGTTTCCAGCCAGGGTCAGGAGCTGCCCGCCCATGTGGCCGAGCTGAAGCCCTATTTGCGCAGCCACTCGGGTCCCACGGTGGTTTATGCCAAGTCTGCGGTGCGAACTGCTGCTCCACGCAGCTACTATCCGCAAGCAGCCCGCCAGCGTAGTCCGCTGGCCGAGGAGCTGGAATATAGTGCTCCATATTCGCGCATGCGTTACGATCCGGAACAGGAATCTGGTCGTTTGATGGAGGCGCCCAAGCAGCAGCAGTCAAAGGAAGCAGCCAAGGCACAAATTCATTTGCAAATACCGCATCACGATGATCGGGATCAGTCCATTGTGGCCACGGCGACGATTACGCCCCTGAAGCCCGACTGCGATCAAACGCGTGAGGAGCAGGCGGAGGTGCAGCGGGAGAAATCCGCCCGCTTGCGTCAGCCTCAGCAACAGTTCCAGCGTCTGGTTGAGGCGCCCGCCGCCGTTGTGCCCACCACACAGGCTACACCCACGCCTGCCCAGCCCCAGCTGGATGTGGACGTGTCGCTCAACGGCGCCGCCGGCCATCTCAATCGTCACCTGCAGCCCAACGAGCGCGTCATCTCGGCCACAGCCGCGCCCACCGATGCCGCTGCGACCAGCGAGACCTTCCACAAGCGCCGCATTGTGGTCAATCATCCGTTCCAGACGGTGCGCGAGGTGGTCGAGCACGAGCCCATCACCAACTACCATCAGATCCAGGTGAATGAGCCCGCCTCACCAGCTCTGTACCATCAGGCCGCCTACTACCAGCAGCCGCAGCTGCAGACGCACGGAAATCTGGTGCAATATCAGACCACGTCGACGCATGGTCAACTCTATGGTTAAACCAGGATCTAAACGGAACGACACGGACTTGACTCGGATTTGTATAGTCGACTACTCGCTTGTTTTTATTGTAATTAGGAGACACGAAGAATTCCCAAAACCGGTGGAAGGGCCCTTTCCATACAATATTGATCTTATCCATATGCATATTATATCCTTAAATCCTAGGCTTAAGCGCAGTTTTACTTGCCAACAATAAAACGCATACAAAATGCCTCGAAAATTAAAGCCGACCGCTGGCGCCATCTGTTGTTCAATGTTCAACGAGAAAATCAAACGAAAGTTGAATTTTCACATATAATATAATCATTTTTATTGGTTCTGTTTTCTTTTTGTTTTGTTTTACGAAAAAATTAAATTTAAGCATAAGCATACAACGAACAAACTTACAGTTACATTTTTATAATGCAATTAGAACATTGACTGTTTAATATAATAATTGTTTATACTTGTTTCAACGTTGCAAGACACATTTTCATATATATATATATAGTTTATTTTTATTGTTTTGTTTTTTTTTTTTTTGTTTTGTTTCGAATTTTGTTTGCACAGTTGGCAATGTTGTGGGTTAAGAATTAAATATTTATCATTTATATATGTATATAAAAAATACAAAAACAATTGGCACCGCCAACGCGGTCAATATTCCAATGCAATTGTCCGAAGAAATTTTGTTTAAGCTTAGCTGGAATTTTGTATATATTTGCTTCACTGTGGCGGCGCTTGACTCGATCGGCGTTTGTCCTTTTCCTTCTCCTTCTCCTTTTCCTTGTCACCGCCCTTCCGGCCAAAGATGCGGAACATGCCGCTGCGACGCTCCTCTTTGCTCTTGCTGCCCTTCACACCCGAAACGGAGGAAATGGACTGAGCTTCGCTCTCGCTGGAGCTTTCGGCCGATGCACGCGTAAAGCTGATCGAGTCGGGCTGCAGCGAGACGGGTCGATTGCTCTCAAAGCGAGTGTTGCCCCAACCTGTGCGGAAAACATAGAGAAAGAGAGAGAGAGATCGGGAGAGTGAGTATGTGTGAGCAGAGCAGTGCGGCGTCTGATGAAGAAAGCGCATGCAAGATAACATAATAGAGAGCGTATGATGTTAACATAAAAGAGTGTGAGTGTGCATAAAGAGTACTCTTAGCCTAGAGTAAACGCATTAAGAGAGAGAGAGAGTGAGAAAAACTTAAGTATACTTTGCAAACTCGTGCGCAGATAGGAACGACGCGTTATTTTCACCGGCTTTACAGTTGAACCTTCGCACAGTTTAAATGTATATATATTTTTTGGCATGCAAATCAAAGAGAAACAAAAAAGAGAGTTAAAAATAGTAAGAGAGAGAGAGAAACAGAGAGACAGCTGAAGAACCAACAACCAATAGCTAAGCTCCAGCAACTGACTACATGCCGCAAAGTACTAAAGAAGAGGTAAACCAAATGCAAGCCTTATATATGTTAGGATAACTGTTTGTGTACCGATTCCATCGTTGTTATTGTTATTTAAATGTAGACCCATGTAGCTTGGATTACTGATGGCGTTGTTATGGTCAACGGAGCCCGATGATGATTTTGTTGATGATGTTGGTGAGCTCGTTAGATGCCAAACCGTGCGACTGCTTGTCGCATGCTGTTGTTGTTGTATCGTTGTCGTTGTTGTCGTAGTTGTTGCTGTGCTATTCTTTTGCATAACATTACCGTTGCCATTGCTGCTCGCACCGCTGCTCGAGTAGCTAACGGTGCGCTTCGTTGTGCTGCTGCTGCTGCTGCCGGAGCTGTGCCCGTTATTGTTGCTGTTGTTGCTGTAGCTGTTGCCCGGCGCATGCGCCTCCATCTCAATGAACTTGCGCGTCGAGTCGATGCGTCCGCTGCCCAGCGAGGGCACTCTCTGCGGCGTTGCCAGATGCTGTTGCTGCTGCCGCACAATGTTGTTGTTGTAGTAGTCGGGCTGCTGCTGCTGTTGATTGGCTGCTGCATTGAATGCATTTATGCGCTGTTGCACCTGCGCCGCATGCGGCATCTGATGGCTATGCTGATGCTGATGCTGATGCTGATGGGCGCTGCTGCCCAGAGGCGGCATTGTTGTGGGCAATGGCGGCGGATTATCTAATATTTACGAGTCGAATTTGGACGGGGGACACGATTTTTTCGTTTTACAATGGATGACAAAAAGTATGTGTGTGTGAGTTTTTGTGTATATATGTGCGTGTGTGTGTGGGAACAGACACAAATAGCTCAAGGCGTTAGCTACACTGGGACGCCAACCCGAAGCTACTCACCCGACTGTCTGGACTCGCTGTTGCGCATCATCACGGCACTGTCATCTTTGCTATTTCCATTCTGGGCGGGAAGCGTGGCGGATTGTTGCAGGCGGCCATCGGTCAGATCTGTGCGTGGCAGATATGTAAACAATTCGAAACATTTTTAAATTATTTTTTTTTACTCACCATTGCTGGAACTTTGGCGATTGCGCATCACCAGATTCTCCTGGCTCTGGCGGCTGCTGGCCACGGGCGGCGCTCCACGTGGTGGTATCGGCGGCTTCTGATCGAATCCGGCTGTGGGTGAACTGGGCTGGGATTGTTGTTGCTGCTGCTGTTGTTGTTGCAGTTGCTGCTGTTGCATTTGTCGCTGCAGGAAGGCCATTTGGGGCGTGGCCGTGTCCAAGGTATGCCCACTGCTGGTGCGTCGCTGCGAGTCTGGCGAGGAATTGCGTGAACTGACGGGCGATTCCACGTTGCTGGTAACCTTAATGTCCGGCGAGCTGCTCGATTGTTGCTGCAAAAGGGAGACAGATATTGGTTAGATTTAAATGGAATGTTTGAATAAGGGTAAGGGGTATGGGAAATAAGGTTATATAACAGACAGTTAATCTCAGAGATAAAAGCTAAAGTAATTGCTTCACATTTTGATCGATATTTGTCGACATTTATTCCACTAAAATCGATAAATGTCGATTTGCTGTGGCTTTTGAATACTTTATAAGAAAAACAAAACAAACACAAAACATATTTCGCTATGAATTCTTCGTAGTCTATTGCAGAGGGAAAAATGGAGCTGAGTACAGGGTATCGCCAGTTGGATACCTCCCATTAAAGACCACTTACCTTCATGGACTCGTCGTAGCTCAGCAGCTGTAGATTTGGCGGCAGACTAGCGTGGAAGGATATCTTGCGTACCCAATCGTTCATGATATCCAGCGATGGTGCCTCGAAGAGGAACTCAGAGCCGTCGGGCAATTTTAGCCGGAAGACATATTTCTTTTTCGTGTAGTCGTCGGCGCGTTCGCACTTGGCTCCGAGAATATTGACGGGCGCTGTTGCCGTCTTCTGTTGCAGGAAATCGTTTTCGTCCTTGAAGAAACAAACCAATTGGCCGCAGAGCACGGTGTGGAATTGCTTCCAGGAGCGCACGGGCGCCTTTTTGCCGCCCGACTGCAGGCCGTGCTTGCGTTCCAGCATGCCCTGAATCTCCACGGGCGGCAAATCGAAGCCCTCGCCCTTCTGGTTCTTGCGGAAGGACTGAGCACGACGGCGCGTCGTGAAGGATGGCGTCCGTTTCGGTTGCTTTGGCTGCACCTTCATGCTCTCGGCGCGCTTCACATTGGCATCAGCGGAGCCGCGACGCAGCCGATCGCCGAACATGCCGCTCGAGCTGCTCTTCTGCAGGCTGAGCTGCTCGTCCTGCAGCTGATCCTGGAAGGGTGGACGCAGCTGTACCTGTGAAATGGCCGGCGATTGGGCGGCGCTGCCAGGTGCACTGCTGCCGCCGGTGTTGCTGCCACTAATGGTCACCATGGGCGCGGAGAAGATGGGCGTCTTCTCCTGGGCGGCGGCGTTATTACGATGTTCCTGCTGTTTCTCGGCGCGACGGCGCTCGTCGTTGAGGCGCTGCAGCTCCTTTTGCTTGAGCTGTTCGAGGCGTTCCTTCTCGAGGCGCTCCTTCTCCTTCAGCTTGGCCAGCTTCTCGTGCTCCAGCTGCTTGCGGAAACGCTGCTCGAGCAGCGTAATGCGCTTGATGGCCTGGAATTTCTCCTCCTGGGCGGCCACTGTCTTCTCGAAGTCCTCGTGCCGGCGCAGCAGATCCTCCACCTGGGGTATGGAGTCACCCAGCTTGGTGTCCTTCAGCTGCGGCTCGCGACTGCTGATCCATTGCTCCAGTATTTCGGCGTCCTTGAGGAACAGCTGCGTGTCCAGATTCAGCTCATAGATTTCCTTGCGCTGCTGCAGCGTATGCTCGAGCAGCTCGTGACGGGATTGCAGCACCTTGATCTTATCCTCCACTTCGTGTGCCAGGAAGTGCTTCTCCTTGATCAGCTTCTGGCCGTTGGCTGTGAAGTTGGCAAAGGTTTCGTCGCGGGCGCGTATCTCGGCATGATGATCCTTGATGCTGGCGAGCAACAGCTCCGCGCCGGCCACACTGTTGGCCAGCTCGGGCGCCGTAATCTTGGCCAGCATCTCGTTGATCCAGGCGACCAGATCGCGGTATTCATCGAAGTAGGATTGCAGCTGTTCCGCCTGGTTCAGCTTGCCCTTGCGCGCATTTGTCTTCTCCTTGAGATCCGTCCAGGCTTCGACGGTCTCGTCGCGCTTCACCTCGATGTGTTCCCGGGCATCGGGATAGATTTCGCCCAGTTTGACGGCTTCGGCCAGAACCGAATCAACCTGCTCCTTGATGGCCACCAGCTCGCCCTCGAACACTTGATGCTTGCGTCCCAGCGCCTGTATGCTCTCCAAATCCTGGCCATAATCCTCCGAGATGAGCGAGGCATCCTTTTCGTTGATCAGCGAGATGGTCTCGTCGGCAACGCGATCGTAGACATGCACCTGCTTGGCGCCGGCGAGCGCATCCTGCCGAGCATTCACCAAATCCTTGAGCTCGTCCCACAACTGTTTGGTCTCGTCACGCTTGGCCTTGATGGAATTGCGATAGGGATTGTTCTCCTGTATCAAGCGATCGCCGCGCTCCAGACAAGCCTCGACACGCGCTTCATTGGCGTTTAGATTGGACACAAAGGACTCGAAGGCCAGCATCAATTGCTCCACATGCTCGACATCCTCGCCGTAATCCTCGCTGGCGGTGACAGTCATTTGATCGCCTACCCATTCGTGCAGCTCCTCCGTTTCGCGCAGATACTCGAAGAGCTTCTTGCACTCCGAGAGACGCAGCTCCCGATCCTTGGCCAAACGCAGCAGCTCCGCATATTGCTGCGAGACGGCACCGTTCTTCTCCTGAATGTTGGCGCTATCAAAGTGATTGCGTTCGATGAGGCCCGTGGCCAGCTTGTTGACCTTGTCAATGGAAGGCTTGAAGGAGACCAGCTCGCGCTGCAGCACCTCTAGCTTCTTCTGATGCGTCTGCACGGAGATTTCGTCGCGTCCATAATCGCTGCTGGCCAAAATGGGTCGCTTCTCGCGCATCCAGGCATCCGCCTCATTGGCCTCCACATAGAACAGTTGACTCTCGACGGCGTCCAGCAGACGCAGTCGCCGAATGGCCGCCAGGTCACGCAGCTGGACGAGCTGCTTCTGGAGCAACTCCGATTTGTATTGCAGCTGTTCGCTGGCAAAGTGATTGTCGCGTATCATTTGCTGGCCACGCTGCAGCAGCGCCTGGATTAGCGGCTCCTGCGAAGTCAGCTCCGCCTCTAGGGCGTTGTGTTTCTTCTGCAGACCCTGCACCGCCAGCAGACTGCTGCCCAGATCCTGGGAGCCGGCGATAAGCTGTTTCTCGGCCAGCCACTGCAGCTCGTCCTCGGCGTCGCGTAGGAACTGCTGCAGGCTGAGCGAATCCTCAAGGTTCTCGCGTCGTATGGCAATCGGCTCGTGCAGCGTATTGTAACGCTTGATGGTGGCCATGGCGCGTTCGTGTATGTCGTGTTTCAGGAAGTGATCCACCTGGAAAAAGTGCTCGTCCTTTTGCTTGAGCAGATCGGCCAGTTCATTGTGATGCGCCACATCCGCCTCGAGACGTTCGTGCTTCTTCAGCAGATTGCTAACAGTGGCCAAATCCTTGCCATAGTCCTCGCTGGAGAGCTGCATCTCCACGTCGTCCATCCAGTTGTTGAACTCGTCGACGCTGCGATTGAAGGCCAGCGCCTCGTGCGCCTGCTGCAGCTTCTCCTTCTTAGCATTGGAGGCCGCCTTCAGCTTGGCCCAGTCGCCCTCGAGCAGCTGCACCTGTTGCGCAATCTCGTCCTTGGCAAAGTGCTCGCCCCTGATGAGACGCTCACCCTCGCTGATGACGGCTTGGACGCGCGGCGAATTGCTCAAGAGCTCGGCATCAAAGGCCGTATGCTTCTGAATTTTGCTCTGCAAATTGCTTGGCTCGCGATAGTTCTCGTCCAGAGCGACTTGGAGCTTCTGCACCAGCCAGCGATCGATCTCGTAGAGGCTGCGCAGGAATTCCTGCAGCTGCAGGGATTGCAGCAGACGCTGCTTGCGCTCGGCGGTCAGCTCCAGCAGCTTCTGCTTACGGCGCAGCACATAAGCCAGTTTTTCGGCGATCAAATCCGCATCCTTGGGATCACCCTCCAGTATGCTGTTGGCGAACTTTTGCAGCGCATCCACATGATCGGCGTCGAGCAGCTTCTCGAAGGCGTCGTGCTTCTTGAGCAGCCGTTCTACGGCCGTGTACGAATCGCCCAGGTCATCGTTGTTGAGGAACGCCTCCTTGTTGGCCAGCCAGATTTCGACCTGTTCGACCTGTGCCTTGAACAGCTGCAGCTGATGCGCCTCGGTGAGGTCGCGTGCACGCTCGCTCCACGCCTCATGCAGTGTCTGATGCAGCTCCTCCAGGGCGTGCAGATACTTCTTGACGCTCTCCGGCTGCTTGGCCTGGCCGCTCAGCTGTTCGCCGTGCTGTTTCAGCGCGACAAACGCCTGATCCCGTCCCTCGATTTCCACCTTACGTTCCTGATGCAGCTCCAGCTGTGTCTCGCAATCGTTAATGGTGGACGGCGACTGGGTGGCGTTCATTTTCTTGACCATGTCGTTGACCCACAACTCCAGCTCCCTGACATCCGAGACGAACTTGTGCACCAGATACGCCTCGTTCAGAACGGTATGCCGCTTCACGGACAGACTCTGCAGATTGCCCCAGGACTTGTGCAGTTCCTGGAGCTTGCGCTCGATCACCTGAGCGCCACGCTCCGGATATTTGCGTATCAGGAATTCAGCGGCGGTCTCATGCTCGTCGATCTTTTGCTTCACAGCGGACATGTCGCGCTCAAGCGCCTCTTCCCGACGGATCAGCGCTTCGACAGCGGCCAGATCCCGGCCCGTGTCTGCCGAGCTCATGGCCAGCGCCTTTTCGGCAATGCGCTCGGCTGTGTCGTCCACGTCGCGATTGAAGACATGTATCTCGTGGGCGCCACCGAGGAGTGCACGATAGGCATTCAGTGCACCCTGGAGCTGGCGCCAGTTGTGATTGAAGTCGCGTCTGCGCTTGTCCACGCTCTGCGTATCCTCTGGCAGCTGCGCCTGGTTGATCAGCTTGTCGGCCAGCTGGTTAATGTGCTTGACCCGCTGATCGTCCACACGCATGTCCGAGTCGACGTCGTCCAGCTTGCGCATGAGGGCGCTGCAGTGCTCCAGATCGCGTCCGGTGTCGCTGGCTTGGACCATCATTTCCTTGTCGCGTATCCAGGCCTCGATCTTGTCCAGCTGATTATTGAACTCCAGGATGTCCTGGGCCTCCTCAAGGCCGCGTCCGCGCTGATCCAGCTCGGCGAGCAGACCCTGCCAGGCGGCCAGCACTCGCTCAATGGCCTGCTTGATTTCTGGCGAGGATTCGTGCTGCTTACTGAGCAGTATAACGCCCGTGTCCTGAATCTCCTTGATGCGACCCTGATTGGCGCTCACCTCGGCCTGGAAGGCCTGATGCTTTTGCAATTTCTTGATCTTCTCATCGAGATTGGTGACCTCCGCATAGCTGGCCGCATCCGCTTCCAGTTTCTTTTGCTTCTCACTGATCCAGGACTCGGCCTCGGCGCAGTCGCGCACAAACTTGGCATAGAGGAGGGCATCCTCCAGCTTGTAACGGCGAACCGCACACAGGTCCTTGACTTTCTGACGACGCGCCAGGACACCCTGCAGTATCGTCTGTATATTGGCGCTATCGTAATGCCGCTGCTCGATCAGCTTGCGGCCGTGCTCCTGCAGCAGTGCTACCTTCTCCTCTTGCGTCTGGATGACGCGCTCGAATTCGTCGTGCTTCTTGATCTGGTTCTGGACATCCTCCACCGTCTGGCCGAAATCGGAGCTACTGAGCGCCGCCTGCTGTGTGCTGGACAGATTATCGATTTGCTTGGCATCGCGCAGGAAGCAGAACAAATCGATTTTCTGCTCCAGCATGATCTTCTTCTTGTTCCAGGCAGCGTGCAGCTTTTGGCGCTCGTCCAACATCGCCGCACACTTCTCTTCCACATCAGCGGCCGCATAGTGTCCCGTCTGCACCATCGAATCGCTCAGCTCGTTCAGATAACGGAACTTGTCCTCACGTGCCTCAATCTCGCCATAGATGGCATCGTGCTGGATCTTCAGGGCTGTGGCGCCTGCTGCATCACTGACATGCTCCTCGGCTTGGAGAGCGGCGCGCAGATTTGACGACCACGAGACAATGTCACGCACATCCGTGAGGAACGTTTGCAAATCGGAGCTGGCGGCCAAGCGATCACCACGTGCCGTTGAGCGTTCCTTCAGATCATTCCAGGCGGCAACCACCTTGTCCTGCTGCTGCGCAATTGCCGCGGCATTCGATGGATATTTGGCCTGCAGACGCACTGAATCCTCAACGAGCATTTGCAGTTGCGCCTCCAGCGCCACTAGATCGTTCTCGAAGCCCTCGTGTTTGCGCAGCAAAGCCAACGCCGAGTTCAAATCCTTGCCCAGCTCCGAGGAGAGTGCGGCATTCTTGTCCTGGATGCGGAACAGCGCTTCGGCCACATCGCGATGGAAACGATGGATTTCGCCAGCGGCATGCAGCTTCTGTTCGCGTTGCTTGAGCAGCTTCAAGAGGTTCTCCCAAGACGTTCTGGAGGAGGACAAGAGAGTACGGATTATTAATAGAATATCCCATATGACAATTGATTTGAACTTACCTTAGTTGTTCCTGTCTCTTCTCCACCTCGTTGGCGTAGGAGCTCTCCGAGTCGATGAGCTTCTTGGCCAGGAGCTCGCACTGATCCACACGATCAGCGCCCACCTCAACGCGATGCTTGACATCATCGAATTTATTCTGCAGCAGCTGCAAATGCTCAAAGTCCTGACCGTAATCCTCCGACGAAGCTGTTTGCTCTTGCTCCCGGATCCATTGCTCCACCTCGTCCGATTCCAGGAAATATTCGTGCTTCGACAGGCTCTCCATGAGGCGCATCTGTCGCTGTGAGGCCAGCTTGTGCAGCGACTTCAACATCTTTTCGATGAGCTGCTGCTTGGCGGCGAGCACCTTGCTATCGGGATGCTGGGCGGCCACCATGGCGGCGCAGGTATGTCCCATTTCAGTGACAATGCTCGAATATGTGTCCAACTCCAGCTCGATGGTCTTGTGTTTGGTCAGCAACTTGGCCGCAGAGTCGCGATCTCTACCGTATTCGGTGGAGCGCAGGACATTGTTGCGTTCACCCAACCAGGACTCAATCTCGCCGGCGTCGAACAGATATTGCTGTGCCTTCAGTGACATTTCCAGTTTGCGTGCCCGTTCGCCGCAGTGCAGTTCCAGATCCTGCCAGGCCTGTTCCAGCTGCCCGCACAGAGCCTCCACATTCTGGCGCTCGGGATGCTGTTGCGCGACGAGCGCCTGTCCCGCCTGCAGCGCCTTGCTGATCATGGGCTGATGACCCTTGATCTCGGCCTCCAATTTCTTGTGCTTCTTGTACAGCGACTGGGCCTGGTGCAGATTCTGGCCCAGCTCATTGGACTTGGCCGCGGGCAGATGATCGTTGATCCATTGGAATTCGGCATCGAGTTCGAAAACAAACTTATGGAAATTGAGACTCTCCTCTAGCTTGTCGCGACGCGCCTGTGTGGGATCACGCAGATCCTTGAAGCGCTGCTGCAGCTCCTTGGTCTCGTCCTCGATGTTCTTGGCATTGAAGTGACCCTCGTGGGCCATGTCATCGCCGGTGGAAACCAGCTCGGCCACCTTCTGATCCCAAATGGTGATCTCCGATTCGAGCATTTGCTGCTTATTGATCAGATCCTTGCAGCTGCGCAAATCGTTGCCGACATCCTTGCTCTTAAGCGCCGCATCCAGCTCGTCGACCTTCTTCTTGGCATCCTCGATGGCACGATTGTGCTCACGCTGCGAGGCAGCCTGCTCCAGTTTGCGGCCCTTGTCCTCGGACAGCGTTAAAAGATCCTTCCACTTCTTGCTCAAATCGGCCACACGATGCTCCACCTCGGGCACACGATTCTCGGCCTGAATGAGGGCCTGTCCATCCTTGTTCACATTGCGCAGCTGACCCTCGTTGGCGCGCAACTCGCGCTCGAAAGCCTTGTGCTTTTGGAGCTTGCGTGGCAGATTGGTTAGATCGCGATAGCTCTCGTCGCCGGCGATTTTGGTCTTGTCCTGCAGCCAGGCCTTCAGGTCATCCGCCTCGGCGGCAAACTTGTGATAGTCCTTTGAGGCCTGCAGCAGGCGCTTGCGCTCAAAGGCGCGATCCTTAACAGCCTTGCGCTTGCCCAGCACCTGATTGCGACGTTCGGAAATGCTGGAAGAGAAATTATGTAAAGGATTAGTTTGTCTAGGACTCGATGGTTGCCCACTTACTACTTGGCATCGTAGTGATCGTTGGCAATTAGCTTGTCCGCATTGTCCGAGAAGCCCTTCAGTATCTTGTCCTGTGCCATTAGGCTCTTCTCAAAGTCCAGATGACGCTTCAGTATGGCCTCAACCTCATCCAGCGAGGACTGTTAAATAAAGGTTTAAGTTAAGCTTGGTTCGACAAAGTGAAAGTTGTCCAACGTACGCCCAGATTGTTGTACTCGAGGAACGCCTCGTGGCTCTTGGTGGTGGCATCGATTTTGTCTGCCTCGCGATTGAACATTTGCAGTTCGACACACTGCAGCAGCCACTTTTGCTTCTCACTCCAGCCGCGATGTATGGCATCCTGCTCGGCCTTCAGGCGTTCTATTAGCTGCACGGTCTCCGCCATGTTGGGCTTGCCGTCGGACAGCTGTTTGCCCAGTTGGATGACCTCGACGAACTCGTTGTCGTGCGCCTTGATGTCATCGCCAAGATCGTTGTGCTTCTTCAGCAGATTGTTGGCTGTCTCCACATCGCGTGCAGATTCGTCGGCGTTCAGCTGATCCTTGACAGAGTCGATCCAGGCGAGCAGCGTCTTGGCGCTGTTGTTGAAGATCTGCTGGCCCACCTCGCTCTCGATGCGGGCACGCAACTCGCTGCCACGCTGCTGCACCTGTTGCCACATGTCCTGCACCTCCTGCTGGCGGGCATTCACATTGTCACGCTCGGCGGGATAGGCGTTCTTTACCGAATTACCGAGATAGGTGACACGGTTGACCTTCTCCTCGACGGGCGCCAGTTCGCGCTCCAGATTCTGATGACGACGCTGGAGTGCCTGCACGGTTTTGAGGTCGGGCGTGATGACAGCCGTGTCCAGCTGCAGCATTTTCTCGCTCATCCAGACCTTGGCCTCGTCGCAGGTGCGATTGAATAGCTCCACACTGGAGGCGCCCTCCAGGCTCTTCTCGCGCTGCGCCTTTGCATTGTTGAGGCGCTGCCAGATTTGATGAATCTGGCGCTGACGTGCTATAATCTTGTCCAGCTGCGAATGACCCTGACGACGGAAGGTGTCGACGGCGCCGTCGATCTCCTCGACACGTTTCGATGCGGCCGACAGATCGGTGATGAACTTCTCAAACTTGCGCTTGGCATTGTCCACGCCATCGCCATCGTCCGTCTTGATCATGCGCTCCTTCTCCTTCATCCACTTCTCAAAGTCATCGCATTCGCGATAGAAGCCAAACAGATGTATCGAATCCTCGAGCAGTGCATGCCGCTTCTGTGCCATCTCCTGCAGCTCATCGTACGTGGCATTGACGCGCTGCTGTCGCTTCTCGACGCTGTCCGCATTCTCGTTGATGCTCTGATTGGAGGTGCGACGCTGCACCAGAGGCTTGGGCGCCACACTAACTGGACGTATGCGCTTCACTGGGACCACCTGGCGCACCAGTATGGTCTTCTTAACCTTCTGCAGGCTCTTGACCTTCTCCGCCTTGGGCACAATGCAGGCAACGGGACGCGCCTCAATTTCACGCACATAGTTAGCGGGCACAAAGCCCTCGTGGCCGTTGTCCTTGCGCACACACCACCAGTCGTCGTTAGTCTTGGACTTGAGGAGCATGACCTCGCCTTTGTCCATTTTCATGCCCTGACCCTCGAAGGGGAAGAGGGAGCGCACATGTGGCAGCATTTTGGTTTCGGTTACCTTCTTATGCTCCAGCTTCTCCACCCACTCATCCTCCCACACCTCCTTGGGCACCAGGCGCGTCTCATTCACCCACTCCTCCTGCTCGAGCTCGGGCAGTTCCGGCTCAGAGGCTGTCAGCTCCAGGGTGCAAATGCCCGCCTTGATCAGCTTATCCGCCTGCTGATTCAGATTAAGTATATCGCCCGAATAGGCATTCAGCTCTCCCTGCAGATCGCGATGACGCTGCAGCAGCGCCTGCGCCGAGGGCTCGTCGTTGCCGTAGTCTCTGGAATTGACCAGAGCCATTTTCTCGTTCAGCCAGGACTCGGCCTCGTTGGCGTCCGTGTAGAATTGATAGGCCTCGGCGGCATCCTCCAGCTGACGGCGGCGCAGCTCCACAAGCGATTCCAACGCCTGCCAATGCTCCGCCAGGGAATCGATGCGACTCTTGATCTCGCTGGCGCGCGGATGCTGCTCGCCAATGAGACGCTTGCCCGCCTCCGACATTTGAGAGGATTTGGGCTTGCGCGACTTGATTTCATCCTCCAGCGCTTTGTGTTTCTGCTGCAGCGAGAGCACCGCACGCAGATCCTTGGCCGTAATGCCCGTCTTGCAGATGCGCTGCTTGTCCACCAGCCAGCTCTCCTCGTTGTCGTAGTCCTCCATGAAGTGATGGAAATTGCGCGCCTCCTCGAGGCGTGCGCGACGCTGCGCGGACAGTTTCAACAGCTCTGTATAGGCGTCCTCCAGCTGTGCCAGGCGCTGGGCGAGCAGGGCGGCATCCTTGTGCTCGGAGCTCTTGTAGGGCAGGGCCTGGCGATTGAAGCGCTTGAGCGTCTCGCCGTATGTGTTTACCTGCAGCTCTTGCAGCGAATGGGCCTGCAGCAGCTCCTCGACGCCCAGTAAATGCGGACCCACATCCTCGGAGGCGAACTGCTGCTGCAGCTCACGCACCGATTCCGTCGTGCCGGCGATCTCACGCAGCAGATTCATTAGATTGCTCATCTGTGAGAGGTTCAGACGTTGATTCTCCAGCAGCTCCAACAGCTTGCGCCACTTGTCCATGACCTCCTGTTCGCGGCGCTTCACACGCTCCTTGCCATGATAGTTCTCCTTCTCCAGCTCATTGGCCATGGCCGTCAGATCGTTGAAGCGTTCCACGCGCGCCAAAATATCAGCAGAGATGGCCTCATGTTTCTTCAGCGTGGCATCCACTTGACGCAAATAGCGCGGATCGGACAATACTTGAATCATTTCCTTGAGGTAACCCTCACGCAGCACAGATTTCTTTTCGAACTTATAATTGAGCTGCTCCAGCTTCTCCTGGCGCAGCAGCTCCTCACGCAGGGCTACCTCGCGATTGTGCTCGGCATACTCCAGTATCTGCCAGGCCTTCTCGATGTCATTGACCAGTTGGCCCTCCTGAGGATTATAGGCCGGCTGATTCAACGCCTTCAGCAGCGTGTTTATGGTGAAGAACAAAGCCTCAATTTCGCTGCGCTCCTTGTATCTGTGGATATCAGTGTTATGGATGGTGAGTGTTGCTATATAGAATTTTCATAAACGTGGCTACTCACTTGGGTGGTTTTTCAATGGTACGGTATTCCTTGAAGGCCAACAATTCACGCTGTATGCCCTCCAGCGAGTTGGGCAAATTCCGCTGCTCCAGCTCGATGGTTTTTTGTCTTATCCAGCTAAGCAGATTTGTGGTTAGGCGTTCATAGTGCATCTTCTTGCGATCGGCATCCATTAGCTGGCCCACAATCTGTAAATGGCATGGACAACAATTGATGTAGGGTAACAGTGGTTAGACAACTTTCTAGGCCCAGCCCGATCGATGCCAAGTAGAGCGTTAACAAGATTGGCTCGCACGTTACGCTGCAGCACCCATGCAAAGAGCTGCCCCCGACCCTGAGAGTGTCACCCGAACCCGAGACCGAACCCAAGCCCAAATCCAGCTACCCAGATTTGTGGGTGTGTCTACTCACATTGGCAATGCGCTTGCCGCTCTTCTGTTCGTTCTTCATGCGCGCAAACGTGTGATAGTAGGAGGCCACATAGGTCAAGATCGATTTCTCGTCTGGTCGCGCCGAGTCAATATCCTCCGCATCGAGCAGACTGCAAAAAAAGAAACAGCCAATCAGTTTAGATATATTTCCATATTTATTTCTATTTCTATTTACCTTGGTATGCCCAATTCGTTGGCGGCCGTGTCGAATGCATGATTCAAATTATCCAAATTGGAATTCTTTGAATTGACAATCGTGCTATATTCGAACAGATCGGGCCGATGCGAATGGATGAGCGCATTGAAACCCAAACCAGAACGCCACGATGATGTAAAGTCCTGTATATTGACGCCCGGATAACCATGTGTCTTACGCTGACACCACAATAAAAGCGCATCTTTGGCTGAACGTTTCTCACTGGATTCGTTTTCCTCATCCTAAATGTGAGTAAATTTAATTATTAATAATATTCTATCTATCTTTTAAAATTTATTGATTCTTTTAGGTCCATGGAATTTTCGAAAATTCGAAAAAAAAATATTATTTAAAGGAAAATTCTAATTTCTGGAGACTCCAATTTTCAAGTAAGTCTTATAATATATAGAATATTTTTAACCTTCAATCAAATCTAATATTTATGCAATAATTATTACAATTTGAAGTAAGTTATTATATAAACATTCGACTTACAACATCGATGACGATTTCCTGAATTTGGAAACGCAAAATGATGGTCCAAATGAGACCCAAGATCAATCTGGGATTGCCATCGACAATGTCCTCAGCACCAATGGACTCCAAGCGTACCTGTTGTTGTTAAAGAAATCAAATACAATTGCATTAGTTCGTCTTCTATCACAGCGGGCTGTTAAGTAGGTGTCGGGTTAGGGCTTATAGAAGGGGGGGGGGGGGGGGGGGGGCAGGGCATGGGAGGGTCTGGCTGCCCGGTTCGCTAAGCTGCACGTCTCGAGTTACAAGCCGCAAAACAAAGCTGGAAACAAGTGAACCAAATGGAAAAATGGAGCTGCAGCTACTGCTGCTGCTTCTTGTTGTGGGCCACAAGTCACGCATTATCGGAGCGAATGGCTCAGCTGGGTGTTTGACCCCGCCGGCTCAGGTTCATTTGCATCTATAGTAGGTCACGGCGTGCACAGGTAGGCACAGATAAATGGAAATAGGCGAAGAAAGCATAAGTTACGACTGATCTTTATCGCATACATAAAATTAAATACAACAAAAACGAGTGTCTAACTTTTAGCCGCTTTTGAAAAAATTGATTAATGGCTAAGCGGCTGGAATTGTGCTTGCAAGAATTTATTTGACCGATTGTACGCTCCATTGGCAGTGTGTATATGTGTGTGTGTGTTTGTGTGTGTGCCGCATAAAATCCTTAACTAAATGCTCGCTCAGCTGTGCGTTAAATGACGTATTTCTTTTTACTTTCGAGCTTCTTCAAGCTGAAAAACCAATTAAAATGCAATAAATGCCGATGTCACAAAAACCAAAAGACAAGCCCCAAAACAAACAACAGTGCTCTTAGCGAGCATGCGCGACTATCAGCTACCCTGTACACAGGTCTGAATTGGTCCAAGCAAGTATTTGTATTAATGTGTACAAACATGTATTATGTAGGAGAAATATAATGTGAGAGTGTCCGAAGAGAGTGTTTTTAAGCGAGAGACTGATATCACAGAGAGAAAGAATGAGAGATGGCGAAGGAGATTGAGAGGGAGAGAGAAAGAGAGAACTTATGTTTGCGTTTGCCTTGTTTAGTATCATGAGAATCGCATAGAAAGCTCACATTAAAAGAGGAGCAGTGTAGTAAAAGAGTTATTAATTCTGATCAAAATGGGGAATACTTGATCACACAACAACATTATACCCTTTCTTACTGATTTTAATTGTTACAGGGTATATAATCAACAACTTTCACTGTGTCAAACAAAGTGGCTAAGACACAGACGTGTGCACAATGTCTTTATTATTGTTGTTGTCGTTTTTGTTGCTGCAATTCGTACAAATTACATGCATTTAATGTGCATTAAAAGCGCCATTGTTTCTAATTAGATTAGGCTTAAAGACACGTACTAGAAGCTAGACCTCAAGCGAAACTATGTCGCACGCTAAGCTGAAAGTGAGCAGCGGCTAGAGAAGTGAGCAGGGAGAGGGAGAGAGACAGAGACAGGGAGAGAGAGAGTGCACAAGCCAGCTGGGGGGCTACATCTATGGATTCCACCTGACCACCCGCCCGCCCGCCTGCCGGCACACACAATTAAAATCAAATTCAAGCAAAGAAAGTGTGCGGAAAATGTGTCGACACGAAAGGCGCAAAATAAAGAGAGGAAAAATAACTTAAATTTAATAAAACTAACTAAATAATATAAAACGAGAAAGTAAGGATCTATTCGGCACGCCGACGATTTAATGCACTTGTGAAAAAATGTAGAATGGTGAAGATCATAGGAGCTGAGTTTGACGAAAGTATCTACGTATATAGAGGTAGTTAATACCGGTTGTTCCTATGACATATATATGAAATTTTGGGTCGATGCTAATAAGATTTGGTATATGTATGAGGAACATAGTGAAGCTATTAAATGTCGAGGTTAGTTAAGATATCTTGGTGAAAAAAAACGTTTTCCCGACAAGAACCTGTTTTCAACCAATCGTTCCTGAGGCAACTATATGATATAGTTGATCGATCCGGACTATTTATTTACACTCTGCAGAAGATCGACGAAGCTACTTTCATGCTATTTTTTGTTTCATTTAAACTGAGAGATTAGTTCGCATAGAAAAAGACGGACTTGGGTATATCAACCTGTCTGTTGATGCTGATCTAGAATATATATATACCTTATGGGTTCGGAGATGTTTCCTACAATACGTTACACATTTGATGACAAAACTATAATACCCTCCTGCAAGGGTATAATAAAGAGTTAATAAAACACAAATATGCAGCGCGTGCATTAGAAAGTATGCAAATATTTCAGAAAATTGCCAGACAAGGTAATTAAATGTATGTACATACTTATACATATAGTTGTATATATATTTGGCCTATGCAGTCGCGCATTTAAAGTGTCTTTTATATATATATATAATATAATATATGTATGTAGCTGCGGCTCATAACTCTCGCTGTGCAGCTCATGTGGCAAACAAAGCACGCAACGTCCACGCGCAGCTGCCTCAAGAGACTTGCACTTTCTACAAATGCGTAGGCCTCTTTCTTTGGGCTAAGCACCTCTCTCTCTCGCCCTCCCTCTCTCCCTCTTACGTACCTTGGTGTGCAAGAATGCCAGACTCTTGTTGACATTTTCGATTTTATGTACACGCATCCGTCCGCTGTTCGGCTTGCCCAGTTTCTCCGACGATATTATCTCGAGCAGCTTGAGCAGCTTGATGCCATCGGCTAGATCTGTGAATAGGTCTTCGACCTCCATTTTGGCCTAGAAGTTTATACAAATGGCATCAATTGTGAAAGTGTCTTTTATTAGCGTGCATCATTTAATGACATACCTTGATCAGAAACGAATTCATCCATTTTGTGAAGGTCTTCTTTTGGATGTGCAGACGCTCCTCCTGCAGCGTCTTGATGCGCTCGTTCTCGAACTTGATAATGCCATCGCGCTGCGTCATGTTGACCGTGGAGCCCCGGGTGGATGACGACGCCTGCTGCGTTCCGTAGCCACCGGGCTCATATTGTGATGCTACAAGAAACGGAAAGCATAGATTAGCACATGGTCGAGCACTAAAAAAAAAGCCAAAGCCCTACAAGTGCACGGCATTTAGCATTTGTTTTGATTTAAGCCACGAAATCAGTAGAGCGGGTGCTTCAAAAAACAAAAAAAAAGATACACAAAAAACTGTGTGTCTATGCCCTGTGCAAAAAATGGAAAGCGGGTACATTGGTTAGTACATAGAAACATGAAACCTGAAATATAGATTTGAGCATATCCCGTTAATTTCGTGATCAAGCCCAACAGGTCACGTTTAAGCCAAGTATTACTATATATTTGTAGTTCCTTAATTTGACAAGTAGACTTCTGAGTACCTTTTCCGAAAGATTAAGGTAAATACAGGCAGACTTCTGTTGAACATTTCTAGTAGAAGTTGTCCCCACAAATTGTCAAATTCAATATATCTTAATCACAGTTTGAGAGTTAGTGCTATGCATTTACAGTCTAAGAGGCATTAGCCTAAAGGTCGCGAGGAATCTCTTCGATCGATTTAATCGATTGGCACACTGCGAACAGGGTATTGCTGTAACTGCAACGTTTTTCGAGATATTTGTTTATACTGAGCCCATTCAAATTAAGTGATATATTCGTCTATTTACCTAAAGCAAAACCGTTGCGCTTGGGTATATACACATACACATCCTTAGCATTTCATTAAGTGGTATCTCCTAGTCGAACACTCTCGACTAGAGCACACTTGATTTTTCTGGCCTTTTACCAATAAGTACGCGCAGCTCAGTGCATTGGCTCGATAAGAGCAGTTCGTTCTTTTTTCTGCCACTTATCGCAAGTCAAAGTAATTAATGGGCATTAGCTAATGTATCTAGTGTGTACACAGGTATATATGTACACGGATATATAGGTAAATATATATATACAAATAAATGACATTAACAGCAGACAGTTAAGTTGTGCGCATAGGTGCATGGTTCAATGAATGCCATTGCTTTTTAAGAAAAACGTCATACTTTATAAATAAGAAATTTTGAATAAATACAAAAATTATCAGCTGAAATGCTTGATTGACCTTTTTTAACCAGGGCTGCAAGGCCCTGCTTTGGTTCGCAATTCGAACCAACTGCCTGGTTCGCCTGCGCCTTTTTCTCATACTCAAAACTTTATTTATTATTATTTTTTTGAACTTCAATAGAACTATTAAGTTTATCAACACAATTGCCCTTTGTACTGAAAATATTGTAAATTGTAAATATTTTCTAATTCAAGATACGGGCTAGATTTGATCTTCGACCCAAATTGGCATCTACCAAATATGGTTAGATATGGCAAGGGTTAGGATCTGGTTTATTTTAACTTATCTTCGTTCGTTTTTTGGGTCCACTAGTTAGCTTTAAGGCCCGATTCATGGTATAAGTTAAGTTAAAGTGTTGGGTGTAAACTTTTTGGTTTAAAAGCTGTTTGTAATACAAATTATTTCATGTTTTAGGCCAGGAGCTATTGTGGTTTTGAAAGTGGGATTATAGAATAGTTTGTGGGCGGTTATGGGCGGGGCCATAGTATTTGTTTCATTTTGTTTACGGCCTGTCCAAATTGGTGATTCCAGCTTAAAAGCTGTGGGCGTGATTTTGAGAGGCGAAGACAGAAGTAACTTTTTCCAGCTTAAAATATTTGGTGGTAATAAAATGCAGATGGACAGCAACAACAACCAATATACCCTTACTCACTAAGCAAACAGAGCATAAAATACATATCTGCTTAAGCTGCTTTGCTTAATTATAATATGTATACTAATTTAAGGCTCTTTCGGTTCTAGAACTTACAAATGTTTGGGTGTGTTCTCTGCACACCTCATGTAAGCACCTCAGTAACACTCTCTTAGCAACTCATGCCTAGTTAGATGATCTAATGCAGGTTCCATGACAAAATATAAAGATACGTATTATGCTTAAGCATGTGGAACGTAATGTCTATTTTGAAACAGGCAGAGTCGTAATTCTAGCAGCTATTAGTCAATGGGTTTATTTTGGTGATATTATTCGTTCGGCTGCCATAGATTAAGGCACAAAAGCCACTCAACAAACTAACTTCCCCGCAACAGCAACAACAACAACAACAACAAATCGTAAAACCTTTAACATTCCGGGCTATGCCGTAATATGGCCGTGTTATCAGCAATTAATATATACCAAAAATGGTTTCTCATATATATAATTTTTGTCCGCTTTTTATCAACTTGACAATTCTACGGATTACGTAATATTTGAAACAATACAAAAAAAAACCAACTCTACGAAATACGAGGAGCATTACCATTGATTTATATGTCACGTATTTCTCGATTGTACACAATTCATTATGTTGGGGGAAAATATTTGTTAGCTTATCTTAGGATAGATAAGTTGGCCGGGGTCGAGTCTTTCGCTTAGAGAGTGTTGTGTAATTCGATGCTAGACTGTAGTCGTAAGCCAAATGCATATTGACAATAAAGTTCAAGTTCAAACCTACCCAAGGACTGACGCTCAAACGATATATATCGTTTGTACTCATTGCGCGAGAAATTCGAGCGTAAGATACTGTTATACTCCATAGTTCGGGCGGGTTTTCCTGGTATATATATATATATTTCTGATCTGGGTTTCACGCACACTGGGTACACTGCAAATTTTGACTGGCAGTTACAGCCTTTCGTCACAGCATTTAGCTCTTTCCAAAACAATAATTCTCAACTGCGGCGCACACTTTGTTCGATTTTCGAGAGTATCGCTGGAATTTTGCTGGGGGCGGCAGTTGTTCGCGCTGTCCGCGTCGTTTGGTCACTGGAGAAGTTAATTTTGTTGGGCGTAGCAAAGCTTTTCGGCTTTTTACTTTTATACAATGTTACGTATTTATCAGATAGCGAGAGTCTGAGCGACTGGGCAATTCAAAATGTTTGCGGCTAAATCGGAATAAAAAAAAAAAAACGAAAGTGGCAAAAACGAATTCTTGGGAGGTTTTTCTTTCGGTTTCTTCGTATGGTGAATTCCATTTATCGTTATCATTTCTGCTGTTGTACTAAAGCTTAAAACAGATAACGCAAAAATGTTACAAAAACAACAACAACAACAACAACAACAAAGTTGTCAGCCCTGGCTGGTGTTTTGTGCTGAGTGATCGCTTATCTTATCGCCCGATATATACCTGGCATACCTGGCGCATATGTCGGCCTATAGATTATGGTCGTTTTGTGCAAAAAAAAAAAGAGCGCTTTATTTATGCAATTAACATGAAGTGGGCTACAGTAACTAACAAAATTCCGAGAGCCCAGAGGAATTGACAAACATTTGTCAATGAATGTACAAAAATAAGGAGTAAGAAAACATAGCGCCAGTTTGATGATATCATGAATAGCGTTTGTCGAAAAAAAAGGCATATTTCTTAATGGTCATAAATCTTGGGTTCGCCCATTTATAAAGCCAATCTTGGGCCGCAGTCTTCGAGCTGTTGCTGAGGTCATCTAAAAGACATTCGCAGGCAAACAACAAAGCACTTTGCAATGTTCATGTGTGTGTGCGTGTGTGTGTGTTTCTCCAGGGCATATATAGAGTGAAAAATCAATTAAAAAAGAGGTGAAAACTAAACAATAAAAACAGCAAATACAGCAACAGCAACAACAAAAGCGCACGACAATAAACTTTACCATACGCCGATAACAGGTGCGACGTAAACTTTGTTATCTGCGACGACCAATAACTGCTCCTCCCACAAGGCAAATGCCTTACATACAGACACTTCTCTATATACACTAATATTTGTAGGGTATATATATATATGCGTGTGTGCGTAGGCTAAGTAATCAGAGCAGACAGCCTACGTGGCACAAACTGAGGCATAACTTTAGGCTTTAGCCGGAAAAATCATTAAAACAAAGTGCATGGCACATTGCGTTTAAACATTCCAGACTAAAAGTTTGAGAGTTGGAAGTTAATTGTAGAGTACAGACAATAAGACTGGCAGATACCCTGCATTTAGTTGTGGGCGCAATGTGGAAACTATTCGAAGTTGAATCCTGAGAAACCTAAAGTTCGTTTATATTCCAAGAATTGCCGGGTTCAAATTCGCCATTTTTACGAGAATTTCCAGCTATAAACTATCTATTGTAAAGATAATAATTATTATTATTTAGTTACATTAATCTAGCTTTATAGGACAGCGCAATAAACTATCATCCTTAACTTGCAAAATATATGGCACTGGCCAGATTAGCGAGGCCCTTGGGTAAGATAATAGTACATGCATAGACTAGTCTAGGGGATTCGAACCAGCGTTTTTCAGTGGTCTGAATGGCTGACTTCTCAGGGAATTCCTTGCAATATTTGTACAGCTCATATTATTGCTTTGAGTATAGGATATAATATAAGGAACTAGTAAACCTTAAACGACATTCGGCTTTTATTACTTATGCAGCCCAAATTTGGACTTAAATCTTCCTAAAAATATGTATTTTCTTATCGAGAAATGTTCATTTATTAATATTTTCCCCCTTTGCATTCCATATTTATATACAACTCTATTCTGCACCTCAACTATCCTCTAAAGCAACGCGAATGTAACCCAACTGTGTTCTTCATTTGCTTAGCTTACCAAAAACTCTATATGCTCTAGTTGTTGCACAATACAGGGTACTCAAATTCCTCACAGCTGCAAATATGCTTGGACTATTTTTAGTGTCCAAACAGTAATAACAGCGCGACGAAGTTCTGGCCATAAAACATGAAAGTAAAAACGCAACTGTGCACATAGAGAGAGGGGGTCGACAAAGAGAAAGAGAGAGAGAGAGAGAGAGAGAGGGATAGGGATAGAGTGTACATTTAGTAGAGCATCCTGTTTACAGGGTAGCCAAATATAAACAAGCAGCCATGTTGCGCAGGCGCACAAGGTACGAGGATTGAGGGCAAACTGGGAAACATGCGGCGCACACATGTGTCGACAGCTGAGGCAGGAGGCGATATTTAAATTTATAGAATGTTATTTAT